CCCCCCCCCCCCACTAAAAACACACAGCGGGGATGAACATTTGCTGAGGAAGCAATGACCACAGTATTGAGTATACAGGGTTTGTCCCCGTGTGCTGAGGGAACAGTTTGGAATGGGAAGAGCCTGCATTTGCCTAGCGCCGGTTTTATGGTCTCAGCCTGTCACCACACGCTCATCGCCGACGGTGACAGAGCTGGCTGGCTGTTGTAAGCCGTTTAGTCCCAGCAGGTTCTGGCCATTTCGGTTGTGATCCTTCATTCGTAAATATGCACGGCTGGGCACGGGGTGGGGGGTGGGGGTGGAATGTCTGACCCCCAACGCCCTCTCTGCCTCCCCACTGTGGCCCTAAACCCTCTCACACATGCGGCGTACATTAAACTGGATTTAACGTGCATTAGACGGGGACTCCGACGGCGCCCGCTCCCCTCGGCGCCGACCCTCCGATGGCGCCCGCTCCCCTCGGCGCCGACCCTCCGACGGCGCCCGCTCCCTCCCTAAGGGGGACAGTGACAGCGTGCAAATAAAACTGACACACAGCGGATGCTGGAGAAACTCAGCGTGACGGGCAGACAGCAACAGAGTTAACGTTTCGAGTCTGATTATGGCTGGAGAGTTGTCTGAGTTTGGTTCGGACACCGTCTGCTCGAGACTGTGGTCAGGATGGCCCCCTACAACCCACATCCCCCCACCCAACCTTCTTAAGGGGCACAACTAGGGGGAAAGGGGCGACAAACGTTGCATTCAAATAGCGACCCCCGAGAATGGACGCAGCAAAGGAAACACGCCAGCTGTGGGCACGGGCCCCTCTTCCTTTGCGCGCTGGGCACCTTGACGTGTTTCAGTCTAGGGAGACGTTTACCGTAAACTCCTTGGGGTGGGGTGTTCCTCGATTGGGCCACTCTGGTGGGGATGGGGTTGGCGCCAGGCAAGTGTCGAACGCAGCGGGGGTTGGGAGTCCAAGCAATGGGAGGGAGTCTGGAAGACGAGCAGATTTCCTTCCCGAAATGACGTCAGCAGCTTCTCTAACCACAACGGGACTATTTCACAGTCACTTTTACTGAAAGCCAGGGCTAAGAACAGAAAAGCGCAGCACTTTTGGCGAGCTCGCGTGAGGTTTACGGTCAGACGGGATGATGAGCTCAGGGCTAGGCACCTCCTTGTTGACTGATGTAACTGTGCAGGTACCACACTGGAGATCGCACTCACTCGGCAACGTTATTCACATCACAAGCAGAGGACCTTCCCAAACCAAACACTCCACCGAGTGACAGACAGACCGTGCTGCAGAGCTCAGAGGGCAGACAGAACCCTAGAGCTGTACGGCACGGAAGCAGACCCTTCAGTCCATCCCGTCTGTGCCGACCCAGATTATCCTAAATTAATCCGGTCCCATTTGGCCCATAAACCCTTCCTATTCATGTCCCCATCCAGGTGCCTTTTAAATGTTGTAACTATACCAGCCTCCACCACTTCCTCTGGCAGCGTCCAAACACGCACCACCCTCTGCGTGAAAAAGAGGCCCCTCAGGTCCCTTTTAAATCTTTCCCCTCTCACCTTAAACCTATGCCCCCCTAGTTTTGGAATCCCCATCTCTGGGGAAAAGACCTTGGCTATTCACCCTATCCATGCCCCTCATGATTTTACAAACCTCTATAGGGTCACTCCTCAGCCTCCGACATTCCAGGGAAAATAGCCCCAGCCTCTCCCTAAAGCTCCAACCCTGGCAACATCCTTGTAAATCTTTTCTGAACCCTTTCAAGTTTTCTAGGGACCTTTGCAAAGGCTGTCTGAGAGTGGCGGAGCAGTGAGGGGT